ACCTCAAAGGTAGGGACGTTTTGTACTAATTAGCCATTAAAAAAAAAAACGTGTGCGTAAGGAAGCCAACTTGTATTCTTAACGAAATTAAACACATATTTATAGGGAGATGTAAATAGTAAAAACTACTGTTATATATAGGAAATGAAGGAGGTCTTTTGAGTCTCTGAATTAAACTTGGGTTCTACTTTTCTATTTTATGAGTTAGGATTTCCTAACAGTCTGAAGGTGCATTGTAATTAAGTAGGTCTTCTTGCACAAAGTTATCCCATTTTTTTACAGTGTTTGGGCTTTTCTGAATTATCAAGGGAGCCCAGTATTTGCCCAACAACTGTCAACAAGTTTGCTCTTTGACAAAAAATCGGCCTTTCATATTCATGTTCACCCCCAGAGGCTACTCAGGGCTGGCCCAGAAATGCTGTCTTCGGCCTCAACCAAGTTAGATCCTCAGGGTCCACAAGCGGCATTGAAGCATCGAAACCATCTAGATGGTGTCCATTAGCAGTACCGAGTGCCCCATGGGCCCTATGAATCAAGAACCGATAACCCACGAGCTTTTCCATATTTGTTACACAATATTCAATATATATATGAAAAAAACTAAATATAGGACAAAACAAAAGAAAATTTACCGTAATTAAATAGGAAATAATGAAAATACTCAAAATAGGGTGCATTCTTGTAGTCATTCAAAGGGTCATCTTATGAAGCCCACGTGCCTTACTCCACTCAAAGGGCCATTTTACGAAGCCCACGTGCTTTACTTGACGAGCGTGGCTTGGCCCATAGGCTCATAATGGAATGAGTCGAGTCAGTTCATGAGTCAAGCTCTTACAAGTCAGCCCGGGTAGCAAGTGGACAACATGAGTTCATTGCTAACTTTAAAACTTGCTCTCTTGTAAAATAAAAGTAAAATAGTTTGTGTCTAGTTCAATCATATTTTAATAATAATAATAATAATAATGATTGTGCTGATCAACAGAGAGATGCGAAGTGCTGCAAAATACTGCCTTACATGCGCTTGGATGATCCCAATCTATGAACTCACACACTTCATCCTCCACTGCATTATTTTCCGTGTTGCCGAGTTTCAATAAATCTTTACGTGCAAGAATTTATTTTCGTAATATTAACTAATGAATTTATATTTTTTCTGAAAAAAATAATTTGACCACATACATTTTTTTCATCATTCACGTGGATACAAAACAAACAAATTACAATCTCAAGTCAC